TGCAGCGGTAGGGGAAGGACTGTATGGTGGCGAGGGTTCAGGAGAAGAGGTGTTCGCAAGTGTGTTTTTGAGAGTCCGTCCAAGTTCAAGTCTGCTGATAGAGGCGCGTCTAAAAAATTCAGTGGCAATAACTTGGCGAACTTCAGCCTGAAATGTTGGGGGAAAGCGCGCGTTTGTCGTGGGGTCGGCCGGGGCTGAGGGAGAAGAGTGAGAAAAAATCAGGAACAGAGAATCTCTAATAACGACCCAGAAACACAGGAGACAGTCTGTCCGGCAAAGGCTTCGTCTCGCCTGCTACTTCCCCTACCCACTTCTCCTCTCAGAGAAAACAAACGAGAACAAACAAGAGACTACGGGAGGAAAATACCCCCGTGTTATTCCCCCAGCTGTGCTTGAAGACGTCCGGAATAGCCTCCCTTTAGGAACCGGAAGTTGCTTACCGCTCTACGGAATGTCGGAGAGGTAGTGGGCGAGGCTGGCTGGCACAGAATGCTGAGTGCTGAAACTCACGAGTTTAGGGTTTAGGGGTGGCAAGGAATGAAGCCATGAATGTGTAGTAGGGAGGGGAGCAGAAAACGTTTTCTTAAAGACTCAAACACGACAAAGCAAAAGTTTAAGAAAAGGAAAATCTCTTTAAAACTCACTTTTACTTCCACTAGACCGAAATGACTTCTCAGACACGCAGTATCGCGCGGACACTCTATACGGACACTAAGCGTTCCTGTGAATACTCTGTGCTCAAAAGAACCCTTAGTCACGCACCAAAAAGATAGGCATAAAAGTAAGAAGCCAAAAGAGCTTCAACGCAATGCATGCATAGTGTGTCTACGCCTGGACTCTAAAAAAAAAGCTCGATTCGAAACTCATCAGAGCTGAAAGTAGTGAAAGTCTTCAACTGATTAAAAAGGTCTCAAACATAAAGTTAAAAATGCGAGAAAAGAAAAGAATGTGCGTGGCGTTTCCCCCTCTTACTTTTATAAATTAGCCAGTGGTGCAAACTGCAGCAAGCACTGTAGTCACTTTACTTCCAATTTCTAGAGCCGGACCGAAGTGGTTTCCCGGACACAAAGTGTCGGACACAAAGTGTCGGACACACAATGTGCGTTTCTGTGAGTGAGTATTCCTTGGTAAAAAAAAAAAAGCCATTAGTCATGGACGAAAAATAGAAGGCGCCAAAGAAAGAAGCTTATGCAGCATGCCTACTTCAGGACTATGGACAAAAAAAATTCTCGCTTCGAATCCCATTAGAGCTAAACGTCTTTCATGTATTGAAAAAAGGCCAAGAACACGAAGAGAACACTTTAAGAAAAGCGATTAAAGAGGGAAATTATGTGTGCGCCACTTCTCGCTGTTCCCTTAATATACTTAGCCAATGATGCAAACACAGTAGTCTGTAGTCACTCTTCTTCCAGTTTCTAGCGCTAGCCCGAAACGGCTTCCCAGACACGAAGAGCCAGATATAGCCTACAATACTCTCCTGTGAGTATTCTGCAGTTTAAAAAAAAAACAGCTCTTAGTCATGCGAGAAAAAGAGGTTTGGCGTAAACATAGTATGCTTCCTTCTGGACTAATGTGTGTGTGTGTATGTTTGTGTGTGTACGTGTGTGTGTGTGGGG